TAGAATAAGTGTAGAATAGTGACCATTTACCTATAAAATAACCAAAAATGCCGATAGATAGAACATTTTGCGCTGATTACAACGATACCAAATTTATTTGGCGCAGGCAAAAAATAACGAAGATATAAGAGGTTTATTTGCTTTGTTTATTTGTATTTTTTATTAGGTGCGTTCGTTTAAAATCTCCAGTAAAAAACATCCAACTGCCAAATTCCGGCGAAATGTCATATGTTCTCTCACAAGAGAAAAATATCCAAAATAGTACGCGAACAGAAAATTTGCAGAAACTTGCAAGTTAGACGAACAGCTGATATAATTTTTGTTTACATTCAAAAGTGTAAAATGTAAAACGTACGAAAAGTCATCACAAAGTGTTATACTGACACAGTTTATTGATTAAACAAATAACTACTTATTTCTTACAAGTTTAATTAGTCGCATTTTGTAATTTTTAACTTCCAAGCCATCAAATTTAATTTTGTGATTTGCGTAAATGCCAACCAGTTGTTTTTGATCAGCTGTTTTCCTGTTGGCAAATTGCGTTTGGCAAAAATTTTTCCAGCAGAAACCAGCAGCTACCCCTCAAAATGAAAGGTCACTTTGCTCTTTCAATTTCCCCTAATTTGCAAGTTTTTTGCGTACGCGAACACAACAACTTGTAAGTTTTGGTTAAACATTAACATTTAACAGCAACGCAAACGCAACTATTATCACTGAATTGTTGAAACCAAAAGTACATCATAATAAAATATGTAATATCGAATTAAAGATAATAGTTGCGTTCGATAACAAAATTAGCCAACACCAGCCAACAATCAAAATCAAGAGAGTAAGCGAAAATTCTCTCCCAAAGAGATGAAAAACCAAAAAAGTAAACGAACAGGAAATTAGCCATTATTTGCAAAAACCGGAAGAAGAAGACACACCAGCTGACTTTGTTTATGTTTTATTTGTAAACAAACTGAAATTCATGTTGCCTCCATAGAAGAAAAAAGGAAAGTGAACGTTCAATGTTCGCCAGGAACATTTCTAGAAGTAAAAACTAGTTGGCGCTATCACAAAGTCACATAGCAGGCAGCCAAAAAGCATATAAATACCAAAACTCGGCAAATGCAATTTTGTTTGTTTACAAGAATTGCAACCATATGTTTTGTGATCATATGTTTTCGTGTTGGATAATTTTTGCTGACTAAAATTTCGCCAGTACAAAATGAACGCTTATCTTGCATCAAAATGAACGCTTACTCTCTCAATTTTTGTGTGTTGGATAATTTTTTGTCTTTATCGAACGCCATCCAGTAAAAATTTGGAAAAACTATTACACATTTTTGACTTGTCGAACGCACCTAATAACTTGTACTTTCTAAATAATATAAATTTCTTTACCATTAATTATGCAGTTTTTTTTCAAAAAAGATTATTTCATGAAAAAATAAGATTTGTTCGTTTTTTAGTGGTTTTGGTTTAAAAATACAAGAAGCTATAAATTATGTACACCAGCTAAAAGACAAATTAATTATCTTTATGGTGGCGTCATTAGTTTTTTTATCGGTTATACCTACAGTTCGTAAGATATTAATATTTAAAAAATTTTAAAACTGAACTTTAACCTTCTAGAACGTCTTGATTTTTTTAATTGCGCCAAATAATTTTGGCATGGTTGAAATAAGCATAAAGAGTTCTATTACTCTGCAGTTTCTTTTTGCATAGCTGAACGGTCGGTTCCAGGAAATGATGAATAACTTAAATCAAAAATGCACATATTTATATATTGTTTAGTATTTCCATTAAAACACCAAATATATTTCAAAATCCCATAGAATAAATAATACACATTTTACTTCTAATTGAATACTTTGCGTACTTTTTGTAGTACCTTTCTCCTACCGTTTTCGCAAAAGGCGATCACATTCTTCCCCTTTCTCCTACTTCCAAAATACAAATCTAGATAAAGGAGTGTCAAATTTTAGCCGTCACAAATTACACAACCTTGTATTATTGAATCATGGTATGTAAGTATGTATTTCATTTTAATTTTTGAAAACAGAAACGTTTTTTTCTAAGTATCAGTAAGAGTACTTTGAAATGTTCATTACTCATTTTATTCATTCGAATCCGCATCCGCGGATGTTAGCGTTTAAACATCCGCATCCGCATTCGCATCCGCAGATGTCTAAAATTCCACATTCGCAACATCCCTGATATGTACATATGTATGTATGTATGTGTTTGTGTGTGCGCCATACGTGCCACATACGCTTTTGTGGTTAAACTTGAGATATTTCGATGATGTGAAGTTGTTCGGAGACAGAATGAATGCGAGTTGGACGGCAAATAGACAGCGAATATTTTAAGAGAATCAAGTGGATACGCTTATTTGAACATTTCAATTACTTTAACTGTCAGGATGTTGATTTTAGTAATTTTTTTAAGCGGTTTTGTTTTAGTTCAGGCATCAGCAGATTTCACCGATACTTTTTAATAAAATTTCCTTAGGACAGGACTAGATTTAATACATTATTTGTGAATTGAGAAAAATCCTCCCTAATCTATACTCTTTTATTTCTAAACCGCACAATCACTGAACACTGCAGTTTGTAGTTATCGAAATTTATCGGATCTGCCATATTTATGAAGTTATCGGAATGGATTGAGCTATTGAAATTGTTCAATGTTTATTAAGTTATCGAGATTTATCGAAACGCAGAAACTTACACCCCTATTACGAATGTCGACCGGCAGTAGATAAACGATTATTAAGCGAATATCGATTATCGATGCTGTTGTGGTGTCGCTTAGTCGCTCAATTAGCGACTGTGAATACTTTTTAATCGCCCATCCTTCTATTGCTGTTTTTTAGTCGTTGGAGTTGCGTTTATAAAATTTACATAATAAAATGGTACTATAATTATAGTAGTATATAATGGAAAAAAAGTAAGTCAATTGATCTGTAAGTTGAAAAAAAATTGTGAAATATACATATGTATGTATGCGTCTGAATTACATTAATTACATTACATTACATTAATTAAAAAATTGTAAGCAACAAAAGGCAACTTGCGCGGTTGGTCGAGCTTATGCAGGAGAACGTGGACATAGGCAAAGGAATTTTCGGAACAAGTAGGGGAGGAAGCTCCACTTCTATTGTGAAAGATATACAATATTTCATGTTCATATGACTCCGGCTACGCCATCCAGTGTTTTTGCGCAGAACCATCATTAAAATTTAACAAAAACTGCATAATTTATTAATTAATTAGTGCTCGGAAATTTGAAATCTTTATTTTAAATTAAAGTTTAATTCTTTCACTACACTTGTATGTTAAAGTTTTTAAACTCGGGTCACGACGCTTCACTTCATAAAGTTTCTTCACTTTCATAAAGTTTATTAATGAGGAAAACGGCATTTCCTGGAAATCCTGTAAAACCTAAAAACTGTGAAGAATCGGGACCGACCCTTGCATCACTTCTACCCTTGGTTTGAGGCAAGCGTTTCGTTGCGCCAGAGGTCTGTCTGGATGATCGGAATTGGGCAATGCCACACCAGTACCATGCCACACTATGACTGGAAGAGCAATTGGTGTCACCACACCACACCACAGGTTTCCTTCTCTTGCAACGACCGCAAGCAGATTTGGATTTCGGTACATGCATCAAGCTCCACTGGCTTCTGGAGTAACATCCGTAGACCTGGCCCGCTTACTGAATGCAGCGACAGGAGGAGCTCGGTCAGCCACAGAAGAGAATTTCCCCAGTTTGCGTTTCGCCGCCCGATACTGCCTCTTCTGGGCTGTGGAGAGAGGACCAACTCCGTCATTGGAGGGTAGTTGGCAGCGAACTGCTTCTCCACCTACATCCCCTGCAAGAGATTGGTCCTCTTCCGACTCTGAAAAAGAGAGGATTGGGAAGTCAATATTTATCGAATGATCAAAATTTATAGTCATCCAAGTTTATCACGATAACGAAGCGCTTTCAAATATTAAGTTATCGATATTTTGTTGATTTATCGAAATTCGTTGGTAGTTATCAAAATTTGTCGGTTTGTGGAATCGAAGTTTTTGGAATATTCAGGGTATATCGGTTTATCGAAACTTCTAAAATTATATGAGTTTATCGAGTTATCACTAATTATTTATTTATTTATGCCTTATTTATACAATTTATCGAATTATCAGCGTATATCGAGTTATCGAAATTCGTCATTCGATATGGAAATTTATGGAGCTATTGAATTCGAGTTATCGTTATACGTATATATATCGTAGGTCGCTCAAAGCGCTCAAAGTGTTCCATGTATTTTTGTATGGAAAAAATAATTTTTTTCGTAGAAATGGTATAGAATTCTTGAAAGTCAATATTTTTCGATCGGAAAACTCTGATTCTCTTCCGAAGACTTTCAATAATAATACTCAATTGTTTATTTAACCACTTTTTAATACTTACGAATTTTTATTGGTCGCCCCATTGCATTTTGCGGGTTTTTTTTGGGTTTTTAGCGGACCTATACATTATAGTTGCAATGGAAAAATGGCTAAATAAACAATTGGAAATCTCCAGCAGATAAAAAGAGTTTTCTGTTAGAAAAATATTGATTTTTAACTATTCTATACCATTTCTACGAAAAGTTGTTTTTCCCCCATATAAAACACATGAAAAAATTTGGGTGCTTTGAGCGACTTCTAAGAAGTCTGATGAGGAAATGTGGTGATTTCCGAAATAGCTATCACTTCTACCATTTTTTTCAAATTATTGTTGCTTTTCCACAATAAGTTTTCACTTAAAACGGCCACAAGCTCATAAAAATTGTTGAATATAATAAAAAATAAGGGTATATTTTTTCGGTATAGAACAATCCTAACCACCCTAATGTACATACATTATAGAAACATGTCATTTTCGTTATAAGGAATAAAGTTTTTATTGACCTTTAATGAAACTAGCAAAATAGATACATAAGACTTGTATTATACAGAATAATTATCTTATCAAATCAGCACTAATCAATGAGGCGTTCTCGGTGTTATATTGGTATTATTATATCTTTGACAAATGAAGTGATAAGTATTGTCGCAAGAATCATCACCCCATTGCAGAGAGTTCTTAAACAATTTCACACAATACTCTCCACCCCTATAATTTTCAGGTTGTCCAAATGCCCAATTTGAATATCTGAATGAAGGTCCATCATAGTCCCAGCGAAAGTTCCGCAAATCAGCGAAATTGTTGCCGGCTATCCAAAAATCATTGCCCTGGAGATCTGTGGAAAACAAAAACAATCGTGTAGTTATTAATATACGAATATTTCTTTGATATTTTTGTATTTCAGTCAGCATCTTACTAAAAAAATTCAAGTAAGTCTGCACTTCAAATTGCTGCATGGGTGTTTCTATACGCAGCAAACTCCAGTTATTTTGGTCGCAAAATGCGTAAGCGGCATGCCAGTTTAACTATAAGGTGCAGAGATTTTTTTTACTTTTAAATAAATTTTTTTTATAATTGTTTTGTTCTTATTTACCTTGGCTAATGTAACAATGTAATTATCTTTGAGGAGATACGGAGGCGCTCCTCTAATATTTTCCTTGCTAACACCCGATTGCTCAGCACCGCCTATTAAATCGGAAAAGTCATCATTGATGTCGGTTGATGTATCGGTGCTTATTGGATGGGGTGAGTCATCTTTGATATCAATCTCCGATGAATATGATTCAGTATTCTGTCCAACAGCAGTTGCAACTATGATAAAGATGAGCACCAACGCAAGCACAACAATGGAAATCTCTCGTCTTGAAATAGTTCGGTAAGTTGCTGAGCTTTTATAGCAATCGCTATAGGCATTTTAGGCATTTACTTATATAAGTAAAAAACTCAGTTATCGCAAAAAATAAATTTTGTCACAATGTAATAACTTCTTAGTTTTTATGATATTTGCAAAACTTTTTGTTCCTTAAGAGTTAAACACATTTTAGCTAATTAATTTTTACTTGCATTCCACTTTCCCAAGCCAATGACCCATTCGAATACGAAAGTTTTTACCCCGCAGAATTTAGCCAACAAATTTCTTACTTTCACAGCATGGTAAGTTTGAAACTAGGAGAGATGAAAATTCATAGATTTGGACTCGGACAGCTCAAGTGTGGTCTTTCCTTGCAGGCATTAAGGTGGTTTGCGATGGTTAGAGAAGCTAAGTTATTACATGCGCTAATGTAAAGTCATTCAAACGAAGTTTTCTTAGGCTTCATTTGTTCTCAAGGAGAGTTCACTATACTCTCTAGTGGCATATCTAGTCAAGATCAGCGTTTGCATTTGTTATCAAAATTCCCAAAAAAAGTTGTCAAACTCATCAAAAAAATACCAAACTTCTTTCTTGTAAGTAACTAAGAATGAAAACATACATACATATAAGGATATCAGGAGACAGAATCTCTAACACATATCGTTAGGTCAGATATTGTTAAGTAAGAACTCCACATCATGCTTTTTAGGTGCTCAGAGCTTTTCATCCTTTTAACGAGCTTTTCAGCTATGTTTTTAAGTAAGCTGCCAAAAGCTCCAACCACTGAAAAATTATATCTGTGAAGTTGGCGTACAGTGTGACGCAAAAAGACAAAAAAAAAGCTGTTCTGAGTAGCTTTTCAATAGTTCTAAATCCAGGGTTCGTATTTGCACACACATGCGCAGCACATCCTAACCTTTTACGCTCACACACGTGTGCTGTGCATATAAAAAATTAAAAACTTCCTCACATCACATGTGTGTGCTGTTTGGTAAAAAGCACGGGCTCATGTGTGTACTTTATTTTTATTATTATAAAGCACACGCACATGTGTGTGCTTTGCGTAGAGAAACTTATACACTTCGATTTCTATCTCAAATCTTAAAATAATTTTTTAATATGTTTTCTGTCATATAAAAAACAAACAACATCTCACTTTTTATTGAATTGTCTTTCAAAAAATAACGTTTAATAAACAAATTCTTTTAAAAATATATTATGTGCATGTGCATGGGCTGAAATTTGTACAAAAATCGTCTCACACACATGTGCATGTGCTTAATAACAAACAGCACACACTTTTCTGTGAGCAGAGTTTGTTTTCCACTTATGCACACACATGTGTATGAGCAGCGAGTACAAGCATTTCAGTAAATGTTTTTAAAAATAACTGAAAGTAAGTTTGCTATAATAAGCGTCAAATAGGCATTTTTAATATCTGTGTTCGTATGGAAAAGTAGCTTATGTCGAAAGGTTGGCTTTAGTATAATGCGGCATTCCTTTTATTCTTTAAACGACAAGGAATTTTTTGATGAGCCTTAATAAGAATATTGACTTTCTAGTATCGGAACTATTTCTTGCACGTTTATTTGCCAAAAGTTGTTCAACGGCTCAGCGCCAGCGAGTCATTCGCAATCGTATACTGCAAATGCCGATTTATATTAAAGTCAGCCTTTCGACATAAGCTACTTTTCCATACGAACACAGAATATTAAGCTTATTACAAGTTTTTTCAAATAAACCTTTAATAAGTTTTGAGAGCGAATGTTTATAAATAACTTAAACTTATAAATGAAATGCAAATGCCAACGACATGAAGTAGTAAATATAGCATTTTTTCAATCGTAAGTGACGTTTTTACTTTTTTTAAAATATATTATTAAAAGAAAAAATTAAATAAAACCGATGCGATAAAAAAAAATCCAATCCAGGACCCGCTGCGCTAATCGGTGGAGCATTCGAGTCTTCAAATGATGAGTTCTCTTTATCCTTTCTTAGTTTAACATTCAATTAAAAATGTATTAAATTTTTTTCAGAAAAGTTCATCAATGAGAATGGCGGCGATGAAGCGGAATATATAGCTGCATCGATGTCGTTTTTCCAATTTGCCAATAACCGCATGTAATTGAAAGCACGCAACAAGATGTAATAATTAACTTTTTTATGCTTAATTTTTGTGTGTTATCGTGAATTTGTATGCTAAAATGTCTTTTCCCTATTTATATTTTCGCGACTGTAGATGAAACCGCCGAAAATTCGCATTTCGTTTAGTTTCTAGATGTTAAGCAATCTATGTATGAGTTTTTGATGAAATATCTTTAAATAAAGGGTTATAAAAATGTTTATAAAAAGCTTTCTTTTGAAGATTTATTACAAGTTTATATTTCTACGCTTATAACCAATGTTCCTTTTCGATTATATTACGCTTAAGGTATTGGCCCAATGCAGGCTTGCTTTGCTTGCCTCGCTTTGAGAACTGTCAAAAGTTATTTGGAATATACTAAAATGTATGAAGGCTGGCCAAATGGCAGCTTTGCTTCACTTGCTTTAAGCGCCTCAAAGTTTCAAATAGGCAAATGTTTTATTTGAAAGCGTTTCGTAGGCTTTTGACAAAAAGGTATGTTCCCGTTCTAAATCAATTCAAACAAACTGCTGCACACTTTTATGTACACAATTTTTTTTACGTAATTAAAAAAAAATATATATAATATAAGTTATTCAAAGTTTAATAAAAATGATTATATGTTTCCATATTTATATTTAACATATCGCTGGCTGAAAAGTTGCTAAGTCCATTTTTACAAATTTTACAGGAACTTTGAATACAACATTTTGCGTGTTTAAAGCTAAGCAAAACTCCATACGAATCAAAAGGATTCGATCTTTATTAAAAGATTTCGTATTATTTTGGCCTTATCGGATTTTCGGGGCCTCTTCTGGACTTAGAAAATTTGCCTTTCATTGAATATAAATAAGAAAAAATAAAACAAGTACATTAATCATTAATTTCTCTTGCTAGCTAGCGATATTTCTGATGTCAAACTACTGGTCAGTCGTCTCTTGAATAATTGGATTTTTTTTTTTGTTTTTAATAAATGTACCTATAGTTATATATGTATAATTATTATCATTCCTTTGAAATGCATTCAAATTCGCATCAATTTAAAAATAAATCTGAAAAGATTGTTTGTATTTTTTTTTTAGTTTTCTGGAATTTTGTGGGAAAATTATTCATAGTGTAAGGGAACAGACCTTAATTTTTTAACTACACAGCTGGTAGCTTTGACAGCGTTCCAAGCCGTCATTTGGCCAAACGAGTTTTTGAAGTAAATCAAAGCAAATTAAAGTAAGTAAGGCGTACAAAGCAAGCCTGCATTGGGCCAGCGCCTTTACTTTCAAGCGTTTTATAAACAAAAAATTAACGTTTTGTAAGCTTAATGTTTATAATTGAAAACTTAAAAAAAAACTTTCTTTACGTTTATTTTGCTTATTGGGAGTTGAATGTGTTTTTGGCGTGTGTGGGAGCAGAGCATGTGTGCGCAAATACGAACCCTGTCTAAATCTATTGAAAAGGAAAACATTTTCTGGATATTTTGAAAAACAAAAAAAAAATTTGTAAAAATTGTGTATGCCATATTCACGCACCATACGACATGTGGCAAAAAGGCAAATAAAAAATTGTTCTGGGTAGCTTTTCAATAGTTCTAGAGTTCCTGAAAAGAAAAAAAAAGTTCAGCAATATTGCGCGGAAAAAAATATTTTTTCAAAAAAGTCGAAAAAAGAAATGTTTGAAAAAAGTAAAAATTTAAACTATTGTGAGTAGCTTTTCAATAGTTTTAGAACTCCTAAGAAGGAAAAAGAAAGTTCTGCAAAATTACGTCGAAAAAAACATTTTTTCAAAAAACTCGAAAAAGTCAAGTTTTTGAAAAAAAATAAAAACTAAAACTGTTCTGAGTAGATTTTCAAAAGTCCTTGAGTTCCTGAAAAAGAAAAAGAGAGTTCTGCAAAATGAACCCAAAAAAAACTGTTTTTCAAAAAAGTTTGAAATAACGTATTTTTCGTTGAAAAGCTACTCAAAACAGTTTTAATTTTTAATTTTTTTAAACATTACTTTTTTCCACTTTTTTTAAAAAAATGTTTTTTTCGCCGCAATTTTGCAGAACTTTTCAGAACAATTTTTGATTTGCCTTTTTGCTAGATATCATATGCTGCATGAATCTGGCATACACAAATTTTTTTTTTTTTTTTTTTGTCAAAATATCCAGAACTTTTTCTTTCCTTCTCAAGAGCTCTAGAACTATTGGAAGGCTACTCAGATCAACTTTTTTACGTTTTGCGTCATACTGTATTCCAACATCCCAGACATTAAAAAATTTTGTTGTGTGAAGTCTCGAACTTAATTCAGGAAAAACTGAGTTTTTCAACTCTGAGAACGACGAGGAAACTGTCTTACGGTGCATTTTAGTATAGTTTTCATTTAGACTTACACCTCCTACCGCTAATATGTATAAAGTTCAGCTCGTACAACAACTGTAGCCAAAGCTGACCATTACCAGCTTTATTGTAAGAGAATAGTATATCCGGATGCATAACTTCCCATCGAATCGATGTCATTTGACCACCAAGATCACGCAATTTGACATCTTTTCAACTTTTCAATAAGGCGTACCTTTCGAATAAACCCGAAACCTTGGAGCGCCTCAAAATTAACCTTTTTCAAGTTGTACCAGAGGGAATGACCAATAAATATCAAGAAATTTTTCAAAATTTTTCTCAAAAGATCAACGCCTTAAGGCTTGCAGGTATTCCCGAAATCCACTATTCATTATAGACTTTCTAACGTCAAGCGGATTTGGTATTCATAATTACAAAAACCTTTCAAAATTAAGAATAAATTACCAAGTAATGCGAAAAAAAAAATTATAATTTTGGTTAATTTGGCAGATCGAGAAGCGGCAAGATAAAATCGATAAATAATATTAAGGAGAAACAGGACAAAGTGGAGTCAGAGGTTAGGGAGTTGGAAGGTCCCAAAGTAAGAACTCTATCCTTCGACGGCACGATTCCTTTCCAGGTCTTTAAGCTCCAGTTCGAAAAAACGACTAAAGCAAAGAGGGGCGGAGCATGGAAGATAAGTCCGCTACGTTATTTGTCCCGTAAAAAAGACCTGCAGCGGAAGTCTTGCAAACTGTTTCCGACTGTGAAAGAGACAACTACGATGCATTGGTGGAGGCTGGGAAAAGACGTTACGGTAGCCAGCACAGAAAGCAAATTTACCAGATGGAGCTGGAGAATCGCCAACGAGTCTCTACAGGAATTCGCCTCGGAGATCGAGAGATTGGCTCATTTGGCAATTGGGGACGCATCGGGCGAGAACCTCGGAAGGGTAAAAGTACAGAGCGAGAGTCGTATGCAAATCCAAAACAAACATTTACTGACACGGTCTCATATGCTCAGACGCGTGAAACGGCGGCGCTCCTAAGTAGACCAGCCTACAAAGTCCATCGAGTGGAAGTAGAGACACCGGACGAGACAAATGAAATGCTGAAGGAGATAGTTAAGCTGCTGGGCGCGAAAAAATGTGGGTTTTTAAATGTGGAAAGCCAGGCCAATTCGCCCGCGATTGCAGCGCAAGTTCCAGTGGGCTGAACAATTCAGCTGATGGAGACGAGCCCATCTCCAGTCAGTCGTTAAACTAAATCGGGCCAGCAGCAAGGGCCGCGCGCTTGCTCCCGCAATTGAAGGCCCCATAATCTCCGTCTCACAAATTGGCCGGAAAGCGAGCAACCTCACTGTTGGTGGATGTGTGAATGGGCCAGGACGAGTGCTGACAGTGGATACTGGATCGTCACATTCCATTATTCGCAGGGGTTTGGGCACTTTTTATGTGAAGCCACTACCTGGAGTAGAGTTGCGGACTGCAACTGGTAAGCGCACCCAAGTGTTAGAGGAAGTACCATGCGAGGTAGTAATGGGGGGTGTTGCTTCGTACATCAAGTTTATAGTTGTAGGCATTGTGGATGAAGTCATCATCGGCGTTGACTTTCTACTTGGCCAAGGCATGAAGATTGATCTGCAGGGAATGATGCTGACATATCGCGACAGGAAAGTGCCATTTAATGTTGGTTACGACAACTAGTACTGCTGCAAACGGTTTGGGTTAGAGGAAGTGCCGAAGATTCCACCAGCAACGGAAGCAGTTAGATGGACCGAGGTTGGCAGTGATAAGGACGGAGTTGTTCCAACAGGAGAAGGAAGCGGTTCAGCTGTTCAGGAAAAGCATACGTGTTTCGACAACCCAGAGCAAAAGAGAAAGTCGCCACAAGGAAGTGGCCACGGCAAGCCAGGCAGTGTTTTCGGCGGAAAAAGAGCCACTGGAGGCCGAAAATGGAGGTGGCTGTGAAAGCAGTGGGCGCGCTTTGCGTTTCGAATAAACAGTTGGGTATTATTATTGGGAATCTCCTGAAGATTGATTTTCAAGAATTCTCTATCATTTCTACCAAAAGTTGTTTTTCCCCATACAAAATACATGGAAAACTTTGAGCGTTTTTTTTGATTTCGAAAGTAAAAAATAGCAGTATATTTTTTCGGTATAGAAGAATCCTTTGAGGTGAGAGCTTTAAAATTCCGACCCTACTTTTTCACATACATTTTTGGGCCACCCTAATGTGCATATGTATGTAGATGTTAACTAATTGCAATATTTTTCATTAAGACCACGTTTTGAAGCTTTGCAGTCATAACTGTCATCAATACTTATTATAGTAGACATTTTATTGGAGACGATTCCGATATGTGTATCAGTTAAAACTGTAAATAGATATTTTAATACAAATACTTCTTTCGACGAGTACTAACATGGGCAATATTTTCAAAACACGTGCGTGGATTTATGACTGTCATTCATGTCAAACAAATATTGCAATGTGTGGAAGTGAAAGAACGTTTTTTTTATTTAGTGTACCACCAATGTTAGAATATAAAGAAATAGTTTAGCAAAAAGCTTTAGTAATATCTACTTAAGTAGTTACATGCTCGTGTATTTTTGGCAGTTATAAAAGCTCAACACTTGAATCGCTTTACCTAGGACGAGTTATCTCCTCTGCGGCGTAGTAATGCATTTTTTAAGAACATTTTTTTGCGCACTGGCAACAGCGGTTATCGTAGTGACTATTACTGCTGAGAAGGAAAGCACAACAGATTTTCCAAATCCAACAACAGCGGATAATATCAAAGAAGAAGTAACTGAAGATGTTTTAAAAGGAAGTGTACCGAAAGCGCTCTCAGATAAATACATTGTAACCCTGGTTAAGGTGAGACCAAGGCGCATCAATACAAGGTGGTGTTGATTGATCAGCTGATTGGATATTTTTGTCTCTACACTAGTACAGGAGAATGTCATCCAAGACGAAGCGGCGCAACTTTAGAATGTTAACAAAAGAAAATGATGAAAATTATCTCCTATTCCCTTTTGTTTTGACATCCTCCTGTACCAAAAATCAATAACAAAATACACGGGACTTTTACTTATATGCAATCAACACCACCTTGTATGGATGCGCCTTGGGTGAGACTATTTTGAAATTAAAATTCGGTGGAAAACTTAAAAAAAGAATAATAAAATAATTGTTGTGCTCTCACAGTTGAATTGGTATGCAGCCTATGCTTATTGTGAGCAAAATAATTGGCGACTGCTACGGATCGAAACGGCAAAGAAACAATTTGAAGTGGAGAATTATTTGAATTTTTTTAGTAAGAAAACTCTGACTGCTATAGAAATTTTTCAAATACTCGTACAAATTTTGGTACACTAATTTGGGGTTTTTTTTTTAATCACAGATCTTCACTACAACGATTATTGGATAGCCGGCAATAATTTCGCTGAACTGAGAAAATTTCGCTGGGACTATGATGGACCTTCGTTTACACATACGAATTGGGCATTTGGACAATCGAATAAATACAGGGGTGGAGAGTATTGTGTGAAATTGCTTAAAAATTCTTTGTAATGGGGTGATGATTACTGCTTCAATAGTTACAACTTTATTTGTGAACGAGAATAATTTGAAATGTTGAAGAATAAAATAGGTAAATCGAATTTTATAAAACTAGTTTCCCTTCATACGAATGTTACTATGAAATTGGGTGGTTATCCTTCGAATCAAATGTAGACTCTTTGCTTTGTCACTTAAAACGCATTGGTGTTTTTTTTTTTGTATAAAAAATAATCTTCCCAGAGCTACACTTGCTATTGCCAGCCGAGAGGCAAAACGACTAGGAAAGTGCGCAGCTCAAACCACTACCAGTAACTACAAACAACAAGGGGGTGCGGGGTGCTCAAAGTTCCGCAGGCAGCTGATATCCACTACGGGGAGCTTTTCGGGAATGTTGATGAAATGCGCACCGAATTGCTTAAAATCCAGCGAATTCCGGCCAGCTGAGAAGGAAGTACTGAATTGATTCCACCTCCTCTTCCTACCTGCTGCGGCAGTAGGGATCCGTGATGATAATAGTTCGCCAATGTCCAATCAGTACACCTGCAAGAATCGAGAGCTGGCGCTTAGCAAGCTGGAGAAGCTTCCTTGGCCGCTGGTGGTCAACAACCGGCCAGAGTCGACTGTGAGCCCATCTGTCCAGGAGCAGGCTTTAGGTTGCCAACAGAACTGCTATGCCCTCCCTGTCCGAAGTGATGACCTCGGGGTGCCCTGCCTAGCCAATCCATCGCACCTGCAATTTCCAGTGATGTTACTGGGTCCTGGAACCCAAATCATCAGGATTTGGAAGTATTCCGAGGCAATTGAGAGAGAGATCGGCCATCCCCAACCAGTTTTGATCGTATCATTAGCGACCCCAGCGCTCTGATTGCTGATTGACTATCAGAGTAGATATTTACCCTTATAGTCAACAAAAGGTGGTACTTTGAGACCGGTAGGCATTTAAAAAACAGAGTCCTCTCTCGACGATGTCTAACAAAGATGATAAACACATAAAACTGCAACGATTTCGCTGGCTTGGACATGTTGTACGCATGGATGACGACGCTCCGGTGCAAAGATTCTTCGACTCCGCACAAATTGGTGGGCAACGAAAGCAAGGGCGCCCACGAACACAATGGAAGAACCAAGTGCAGAAGGACCTGTCCGCACCTGGGATGAACAACTGGGGCAAATCTGCAAAAGACAGAAGCAGCTGATGAAGTTTTTTGTTCTCGGCAGCCAACCCTCGCTCAAAGACGCTGTAGAGATCCGTTAGTCTGACCATAACATCTATTGAGAGTTTCGGACAGTAGACCCCTCCTCCAACTCCCCTGTCGACTTGAGATGCTGTTGAGAAACAACATTAGAGATTAAAGAAATACCTTAGTTCTCAACTTAACCTCAAGTTGGTCTCAAACCTGTGAATGTTTTTTGGGTATGTTAGGATGATAACAAGGCGAATTCATATAAGGTAGTTTTACCGGATTTTTAAATGAAAATAAATGAATAAATTATAAATTAGCAAAATGAAATTAATGTTTAATGTCTAACCTAATCTACATATGATGTATCTGAATCGCATAATGGTCCGCCGTGGCATAAACAAATGTTTACATATCAAATATTGTGGGTAGATATCTGGTATTCTGGCCTTTTTTTCAAGAAGTTTCACTTTTATCACGCGTATGCGCCTTTAATTTATCTAATTTTATTTTATTTTTTTTTTTTTTTATATTTTTTGTATATTGTATTTTATTTTTCATTACGTATTATTTATTTTAATTTTTTTTTATATTACTTTGTTTTATTTAATTTAATTTTATTTTTGTTATATCTTAATTTTTAGCAAGCAAATCTGCTTGCACGTAAACTCATAAACGCTCTCTGGAAAATTATAGAAAACGTAAATCTAGAGAGCGTAAACAGATTTACGTTCTCTGTTTATTATAACATGTGGAATGCAATCCATACACCACTATTCCAAGATTATCACCAACAGCTGGCGAGCAGCAGAATTATGCCGATAAAGCAGTGTTCGAATTCCGTTAAAAAGGTGAGTGTAGAAATAGAGAACGCTGCGCTCTTTTAGGGGTTGTATTAAGTTAAACGTACTTACATACATTCATACGTACATACGTTCATTGTTTGGTCTTCTTTTGTAAAGTGTGCATTTCATCGCTTACAAATTTAATTTCGACTTTTTCCTTTTTATAAGTATGTAGATAAGATTTATTTATGAGATTCGGCATTGTCACGTGTGTGTTCATACATATGCCTCTGGCATACAAATGTTTGTATGTATGCATGCACATATCTACATATCAACACCTCAATTCACAAAGGCCCTAACCAACAAAGTTTTTATTTTACAGGAGAAGCAAAAAACAATATGTGTTGAGCTGCAAAGCTTTTTTTGCAGCTATTAAACTCCAAATTAACAAAAAAAGGTCAACACCTTTGATTTGTAGAAACAACTTAATTTTTATTTAATTTTTGATTTCGAATTCTAAACGATGACGTTGCCGTGAGCTTAAACTATAAAATGCACCTATGCCGCTGCTGAGCTGCTGCTCAGTTCTATCGCCAAAATCGAATGAATGCAAATCTTAATTCCGCATGAGCAGGCATGGGCAGAGAACGAGCACACGCTCAAAGAGCATAACCATCGCGTGTACGTATACAAGCAAGAGCGTAACGAGGAGAACGCGGCAGCGTGCAAATTGAATTAGGCACACTAACGCATTCTCACTTTTAGCGAACGCTTGTTTGTGGTAGTGCCCACCTCTGCGCATGAGCAATAGCCTATTAGTGTAGGTATATATGTATACATTATGTACAAAATGTTTGTTCTTAATAGTGAGCATAAAGGGGAATTACGGAGTTTACAACGGTGATATTTAATTCTATGCAGATGAGAGCCTCGAGCGATAAAAAGTAATACATAGTTAAACTTGTTCTTTTTTTACATGCTCTCATTATTTGATATACATATGGACCGTTTTTTATGGATATGTGTACATGCTTGTACGCCCGCCTTAAGAGCCACAGCAGTTGTACATACTATGTACACATCATATCCCGTTCGCCTGCATTCGTCCAGTATAATAGTATGTATGAGCCCAAGTAATTACCCTCCTCCATGTATGTATATGCTCATATGTTTTGCAATTGGAATATAAAGTGAGTGGTTTTACAATAATAATGTACATATGTTCAATAGCGGACTGGGAATATTTATGCTAGGGTGGTACAAAATGTTTAGAAGTTTAAACAAAATGATAAAAATATTTGAAGCTTAAATGTAACGCTTTATATTGCGATGTGAGGCTAATGATTTATGTTGATTGCATTATCGGCTGCTGCTCCGAACATACTCCCCGCGTTGAAAGGTCAGGGCTTTCAACAGTATCGTTTACTGGAAGGACGCACAGCTTGTTCACTGCTCGACGGGTTGTTCCACTAGACGTGCGTAAAACTGCCGCTCGTACTACACCATCAGCTCCAGGGGTAACCTCGATTACACGGGCCAGGGGCCACTTCAGAGGCGGTGAGTTTTCGTCCTTGACGCATACGATATCGTTCACTTGAATGCTGGCCTGAGGTGTGCGCCACTTCGCTCGTTGCTGGAGGAGAGTGAGATATTCTCGACTCCACCGATTCCAGAAAATTTGGTGCACGTGAGTTGCGCGCTGCCATCGGTCAAGACGATTACAATTTAAATGTCTCAGGTCAGGTTCAGGTAGAGTTATTAGTGGACCACCAATCAGGAAATGCCCTGGCGTCAATACGTCTAAATCCTCTGGATTTTCTGAAAGTGGTACAAGAGGACGAGAATTAATAACAGCAGCGATTTGACATACCAGAGTGCGCAATTCGTCAAAGCCAAGAAGTGAAGAGCCAACCGAACGTTAAAAGTGCTGCTTAGCTGTTTTTACGGCTGCTTCCCACAAGCCGCCGAAGTGCGGCGAGCGGGGCGGGATGAATCCCAATCAAACCCATTGTTGAGACAGTGGTTATGGACCTCGCTGCGATGCTCCTCGCTTAAAAATAGGCGTCGCAAATCACTCAACTCGTTTCTTGCGCCTACGAAGTTTGTTGCATTATCTGACCAAATGCAGCTGGGTACGCCACGAGTAGCAACAAATCTCTTTAGAGCGTCGATAAAGGCGCTGGTCGATAAGTCCTTCACTAACTCCATCCAGACGGCTTTTGTTGCGAAGCAGATAAAAACGCTAACGTAACATTTCTGAGGGGACTTGTTACGCATTTCTGGCTTATAATAGAACGGCCCACAATAGTCTACACCAGTGACAATAACGGCGCGTGAGGCCGCAATGCGATCCTTAGGCAAGTCAGCCATGATGTGCTCGGCGAGTCGCGGTCTCGATTTACAACATATAATGCATTTACCGAGGGCGTGGGCGACAGTTTTTCTGCCACCTATGGGCCAGTATTGCAAGCGAATGGCTGCAAGTAGTGACTGCGGCCCTACATGATGATGCTTGTGATGAAAATGTGCAATTATGGAGAACGTCAGCTGATGATTCTTTGGTAGAATACACAGGTGACGCGCTTCAAAGCCAAGAGTTGAATGCCTCAGGCGACCGCCAACTCGAATCAGACCGATGTCATCTAAAAATGGTGATAATGAAGAGATGCTGCTAGATGATGAGACACGCCTCTTATTTTTCAGAGCGACGTAATCTGACCAAAGCTGCGCTCTCTGAACGATGCGAATTAACAACTGAACCCCATGATGAATGTCCCGAAACGTGAGCTGCGACGTCCTTGGCAATTTTTTTACATTGATAAATTTGCTTACGTAACCAAAAATACGCTGCATAGAAGTTTAAACAAAATGATAAAAATATTTGAAGCTTAAATGTAACGCTTTATATTGCGATGTGAGGCTAATGATTTATTGCATTATCGGCTGCTGCTCCGAACAATATGAAATGAGTAGAAAAAGCAGTTAAGAGTTTTTTTAAAAAGTGGCACGTAACTCCGTTGTTTTTGGAACTAAGACATAAACTTTGGGCGCGTTTATAAGACGTAGCTGTTGCGTAACCGTTGGCTATTTGTCTTAGAAACGCACAGTTGAGCAGTTCCGCTCAGCTCAACAGTTGGCAACTTTCCGCCATTTTTTCCAGCGGAAAATTTTTACGCTACCTGAACTCAACGTGGTGGGCTTAGCCTAAACAGCTGTTAGAAAAGACTTACTCCGCTTATATTAAATTTAACGCCGCTTTGTTAGGTGGTAGTTGCAAATAAATTTATTCTGTTTTATGATACTGTAGTGATAAAGTAACTAAAATGTTTTATAATAATACTACGTCTCTAAATATATGTTTTTAAGATGTTTGCTATATAATTATACACTGTTTAATTCATTATAACATTGAACGATTTTTTCAACATGGCGTTGAATTCTAAATACTATCGGCGCAACTATCTCTATTTATTGCAATTTCATTTGTTTACATTTATCAGCTGTTCATTTGGCAGCATATCCATCAAGCCGTTTCTAAGATGTAATTGTTGGGTTCAACAGTTGCCAACAGTTTTGTAGCAGATGAGCTAAACAGCTACGCCTTATGAATGCACCGTTTGTACATCGCCTTCAATTTCATTTAAATTTTAATGCAAAATAGCTGTTTGCCATTTTGCCAACTACCACTAAAATTGCTAAGCTTCGTTACTTGGCGCTGTCGTTAGTTACAAAAACAAAATATACGTAAAACTGCCAACTAACAAAGCAAAGACTGTGTGAAGACCCCTATTGTGAGCGTTTCCCTATTATCATACTGCTTCCCTTGGATGTATATAAGTTTTTTGAAAAAAATTTTGGAGAATGACCCATTATACATATTTACTTGTATATACATACATATGGCTCGTTCCATAATTAAAATTAAAATCAACATGATGAAGTTAATAAAAGAAAATATAAAAAAATGCAATTTTTAATGCAAAACTTTTATTATTTTAATCTAGCTCTAGCTAGATTTTCTCCGATAAATAGTTTATTTACTGCAAACAATTGAAAAAAGATACATACCTCTGCGTGAGTTCAAAATTTCGGTAATTTTTTTCGAGATTTTCGAATATCGTGACGAAATAAAAAAATTTGTGTCTTCCCTTTTTTGGTAAAGAATGTAAAAAAATATATAGTTCACCCCAAAAAAATATTGAGTCGTAAATATTATATGGAATGACTCATACGTATCTCTTGCGTACATAAAAATATGTATGTAGTACTAAAAAAATTTATATAAAACTATAAAAATGCTAGTTTGCCAAATAGTTCACAATTGGGCTTATCAGATAGTCATTGTTGTTATTTTGAATACCTTTTTTATCAAATACACAGGTCAACAATTTACATTTTTTTATTTTGGTTTGAATCGACAACACCAAAGATATTTGTTTTCTTACGTGTAGCTTTGAAATTAACGGCAGTTTTAATTAATACATTGGTGTGCGTATTTTGAAAGACTTATGGGTGCATTACGAAGTTAAAAGTTGCGCAAACCTACACATTTTCTAAACATTTTAATGAAAACATGCCGTGAATACCCAAAATGCAAAATGTGCTGTCAACACATAGTCGTTCAGTGGTGCAAGCAGCAACGGAAAGAAGCGCAAAGCACCTTGATAACTGTTAGTTATGCCGTCTTAATTGGCGTGGTGTTAATATTAAAAAAATAAAAAAAAAGGCTGGAAAAACCTGACCACATTCAACGAAAGTACCAATCCCAAAATTTTGTTCCCTATGTGATATATCATTTTAAGAAATTCTCATTTTCATTGTTGGTGTTTCCGACAGGGTAAGGAGTGTGATGTGGAACGATTTTCCGTCATCCCTTGTGTCTCCAAACCAAATTTGACAAGGGATGACGGAAAATCGTTCCACATTACATCACATTTTACGAAATCTTTAATGAAATGAGCAGTAAGAGTAATTTCGAAGTACTAGCGTATACAAAGCCAAAACTTTTAGCCAATAAGAATTAAATGATTTAACTAGGGCTTTAGAACTATCTAGAGAAACTGCAGAAGTATTAGCTTCTGGATTAAAAGGTAAAGCCTTTTGACTTTTGGTACAAAAGTGGCTTTCTATAGTATAAAATAATATTCAATCGGAATACATTTTTTTACTCAGATGTGTAAGAACTTATTCTGTAAATGGTTCTAACAGAATATCTTAAAATTACAATTTGCAAAGATTAAAGTAGGAATTTCCGATGACCCACAAATAGGGATATTCAAATAACGATATGGAACATGCTGCGTAGACCTCATTTGTTTAAGTTACTAAAAACTTTCTGGGAAATTACAAGTCACGAAACTACTCCGAAATAGTAACCGACATGCTGGCGGTCTTTAAAACCTATATAATATGTCCATTAACACTACCTACACAGTCTTCTTGACAAAGGGCGCTATTTCACCAGGACCCAACAATTAGAAGAGAGTTTCCAAGACCGATGAGATTGTCACATGATGGCTGATTGATGCAACGTGATTGTTCCACTAAACCTAATTCACGATGGTCGCGAAGAAGAAAGGATTTATATATGTAATATTTACCATAATAAATGCAGTTTTTTATACAAATTTGTATTTTATTATACGAGTTAAAATCGGTAAAACAAAGCCTAGGAAATAAAAATAAAAAATAAAATCTTAGTTAGAAAAGGATTATAGCTACTTGGCAACAAAACCGCTGTTGACCAGTGTTATCAGAGTATGGTGCAACAGTTTGAGATAGCAGAGAATTGATTTATTTTTGGAGTGATAGTTTACCATATAATTCACGCTACGGCTTATCAGATACTAAACGTGACATTTGGATTTTTGACGTTTTTTTTTATAAAACTTTCGAGAACTTACTTTTTCAGATGTTAACAAATAACTTAAATGTCGCAAAGATAGCTAGGTGCAGAACACATGTATATTGCAAATTCATGTTGATATTATTAATATTTTTTTAATATAGAGACTTAAGTATATATTTACTTACATTCTGTTGAAGCCAAAAGCCTTCAATAGTTAGGAACCACTGGTAAGTGTTCTGCACCGCTGTTCGCTGCAAAGCTACAACGCTGCGGGAAAACTACCGGTGGGCTTCTTTCGAAGTCCAAGATTATTTAATGCGATGTTCGGTTTGAACTGCGGTTCTTTTGGATGACAGCAGCCAGCATATAATCAGTGCCATCTTAGTCAAGTTGTACAGGAAAAGTGCAAATATATAAGCAAAAAACATACAACAAAAAGTGCGAAAATACATAAAGAAGCATATATTTACGTATGTACATATGCATAGTCGAAGCAGTGAAAGAAAATAAAAACCGAAAGAAAAATAATACCTTTTTACATAAATATATTGTGCATATCAAAAGCATATACATATTATTTAAAGTATATACAAAAAAAGCAACTCGTGAAAGTGAATGCATAAATCGAACTATAAATACATACATAAGTGAGTTTTCTTTTCTTTCACTTGGTTCTGCAATTCTGTGTGCAAATACATACATATCTGTGTTCGTATGGAAAAGTAGCTTATGTCGAAAGGCTGGCTTTAGTATAAATCGGCATTCACAGCACACGATTGCGAATGACTCACTGGCGCTGAGCTGTTGAAGAACTTTTGGCAAATAAACGTGCAAGAAGTAGTTCCGATACTAGCAAGTCAATATTCTTATTAAGTCTCTTCAAAAAATTCCTTGTCGTTTAAAGAATAAAGGCAATGCCGCATTATACTAAAGCCAGCCTTTCGACATAAGCTACTTTTCCATATGAACACAGATATGTATGTGCATATGTGCATACAAAATTACTTGTGTACATACATTTTTATATACAGATATACCACGTGGACAAAAGTCACCGTCATTTGCCCCTTACAACGTATGAGGAGCGACCACGCCCATAAAATACTAAAAACACAAAACATTTAATTTTCAACTAAAACTGCAATTCATTTCACCTTATTATTTGTAAAAAAAAATTTATAATTCTCAATTTTTACAAAGAAAAAATTCACTTATTATAATACATATGTATTTCTTATGGACAAAAGTCACCGTCACATTACATAGAAAAATTGATTTTAATAGGTTGTATGTTTGCCATTATTTTTAATAACTTCTTGCAAACGTTTCTGCATTGAATGTACGAATTTCGTAGTTACATCTGAACTTATTTTCTCCCATTCTTCCAGAAGTATTTGTTTCAGTACATTTTTTGACGTAATATGATGTTCTCGCACCCGTCGATCCAAATGGTCCCATAAATGTTCGATCGGGTTAGGATCTGGTGACTGGGGTGAAGTTTTCAGGGTGTGAGGGGTGTTGTACAAGACCCACAAGCGAACCATTTCTGCTGTATGCTTGGGGTCATTGTCATGTTGAAAGTAGTAGTCAGTTTCAATTCCAAGTTTTTGAGCGCTTTTCTTCAAATTTTCTTTGAGGATATTCAAATAAAGTGTTTTGTCCATTATTTCTTCTATAAATACGAGCTCTCCAACCCCACCTGCTGACATACACCCCCACACCATAACTCCAGCACCTCCATGTTTTACAGTTGTATGAATATTTTTCTCTAATAATGCACCGCCTTTGTTCCGTCATGTCAAAACACGCCCATCCGACTTGTAAACACAAAATTTGCTTTCATCAGAGAAGATTACTTTCTCCCAAAAGTCCGTTGGCTTGTTTATGTGCTCCTTTGCGAAAGAAAGCCGCTTTGTTTGGCTCACCTTGCTAATAAGTGGTTTTTTTTCGGCAGGTTCGGGCATTATATCCAGCTGTATTCAGCACTCTTCGGACAGTGCGAGGATGAACTACCTTACCTGTGCCTTCTTTTATCACTGCAGCGATTTCCGAAGATGGAGTCTTTGGCTCTTTTTTTATTATTTTTATTATCTCCCGTTTTTCCCGATCTGATAGTGCTGGTGGCCGTCCACTTCTCGGTTGATATTTACATTCTGGATCATTTTTGAAGCGATTTATTATATCAGTAATGGTAGTACGGGGACGTTGAACTAAAGCACATATTTCCCGGATGCTTTTATTTTGTTTATAAGCGTTTAAAATAATTTTCCGCTCCTCAACAGTAGTTCCTTTTCTTTTTTGGCTCATTTTATATCAACACGTGGCATTTTCAAGCCTTTTCACACAAATAACGGTACTTTGTTATGACAGATCAACTCTAAAGTTACCATGTTACAAGAATTTGATTATAAAAGAGGGTAGAGTGACCAACTCATTTTTATTAAATTTCTATTTCTACTAAAAAATATGCACGGGTGCAGTAACGGTGAATTTTGTCCATAAGAAATACGTATTATAATGAGTAAATTTTTTTTTGGGAAAAGTTGCGAATTATAAAAGATTTTGTCAATGTTATTGTGGCTTGTTAACATTTTATTTTTTAATATTT